TCCCCGCCCGAGGTCCCGCGCGGGTGCAGGCGATGGTCGGCCAGGCGCTGCTGGGCAAGACGCGCCTCGAGAGCAGTCCTTTCGGCTCGCATGCTTCGGCGAGGGCCCAGGCCCCGAGTGCCTCGCGGCGCCGATCGGGGAGCGGGCCAGGCAGGCATGGGATGCTGGGGTCGCCCCGTCCACTCTGCAGGCGGCGTGGAGGAGGCACCAGGTCGCGCTCCTGAGGGGCGGCACCTGGAAGGGCCTGCGGGGCCCAGCCTCCTCCGTCATCCTGACAGCGAGGGAGATAGGCTGGACGTGGCCCGCGTTTGGGACACGTTCATCAGGAGGGAGGGCGTCCAAATCAACGCGCTGCAGGTGCGCCCGCGCGACGTCCTTGCGCAGGCGAAGTGGGGCGCGGAGCGCGAGCAGTGGGCGCGCTGGATCGCTGCCGACGGGGAGAGGACCAGCCTGACTCCGATTCCCTTTATCGAGCCGTTGCGGAGTTTCTGCGATCAGCATCGCAGGCACTGGGGTGCAGGCGTGGCCTTCGCGTCGCAGGCCCATCACTGGAGGCCCCTGGGCGCAGGCGCGCGCGCGTGCCAGCGGTGCCGCCCCTGGCACTCACTGCCGCCTGTGCCCCCAGGCGGGCAGGCGCTTCCTGTGCACGGCGCAACACTGGCTCGGTGAGTGTCCAGGCTGCCGGGAGCACCGCCAGGCCACGCCTGCCACCTGGCAGCATGCTGTCGAGACGAGCCCCGACGGGCTGCGCTGGGGTCGCGGGCTGACCGCCCACCCCGGGTGGCAGCGGCTCTTCGCGCCACAAGTCGAGGTGGTCCGATCGACCGAGGCCGACGAGGGCATCCTCCTCACTGGCGAGGCCGCCACAGACGGCGCCCTGAAGGGGCGATGGCGCTGGCTGGGCAGAACGGGATGGGGGCGCGCAGCAGGCGGCGCTGACCGAGGAGGCCAGCGCAGCCTCCCCCGCTCTCTGGGGACCGCTCCCCCTGCAGTTGCCGGTGCAGCGCAACATCCACAGGGCCGAACTGCATGCCGTGGCCGTCGTCCTAGACAACGCGATGCCGCCGCTGCGTGTGCATGTCGATTGCCAGTCGTTGCTCGACGACATCACCGCAGGCCGCCAATGGTGCACGTGCGCTGCCCGTCCGAATGCAGGCGTATGGCGACGCATCTGGTTCAAGCTTGACCACATCGGCCTCGGGCCCGACGGCATCGAGTTCGGCAAGGTGAAGGCCCACCGCACGGACGCGCAGCTGCAGGGCGCATCAGCTGCGGAGCGCCTGGTGGCCATGGCCAATCGCGGGGCTGACGCCTGGGCTGGCGAAGGCGCAGCCAGCGGAGGCAACGAGTCGCTGGTCTACGTCCAGCAGGCATGCAAGGAGACGGCCGCCCAGGTCCGCTGCGCCTTGAACTTGCATGCCGAGATCGCAGAGCGCGTGTTCAGCACTCAGGAAGAGTGGCCGGACATGCAGCCGCCGCCGCCGCGAGGCCCACAGGCTCCGCGCATCGGCCTGCAGCTGGTCGCGGAGGAGGATCGCCGCCCCGAGCCTCCGAGGAGGGCCGAGGGGGGCTGGGCATGCCAGCGTTGCGGCAAGCGCGGCGCGAGTCGCCAGGCCCTCACCGACGAGCGGTGTGAGGGGCACGCCGCAGCCCGCCTGCCAGTGAGGCTTGAGCCGCGCGTAGTCACGGCGCACGGCCATCGCCTCTGGCGCACCGGCCCCTGGGTCTGGTGTGCGCGCGAGGCTTGAGCCGCGCGTAGTCACGGCGCACGGCCATCGCCTCTGGCGCGCCGGCCCCTGGGTCTGGTGTGCGCGCTGCGGCCGATACGCCAAAACGAGGCTCGCGGGCCTGCAGCGCCCGTGCCCAGACCATATGCCGAAGGGGTGCTACATATCCAATCTGCGTGCCAGCCGTGCGCCGAGGGCACGTTGCAGTGCTCCGCCAATTTGGGCCGCCGCGCCACTCACTCTTACAGGAGTGGGAGGCGTGGGGCACTCTGGATTCCCGAGCGTAGGCGACGGTGCCTGCTCGGCAGGAGCGCGGCGGGGAGCCCGCTCTCGTGGCCAGGCCGGGCCGATCGTACAGCAACGCCCTGCTTTTAATATGTTGTGCACCTCCCTCCTCCTTTCCTCCTCCTCCCTTCTCCTTTCCGCCTCCTCCTCCTCCTCCTCCTCCTCCTCCTCCGCTCCTTGTCGCCCGCGCCGAGGCTGTCATCGCGGGCTCTCTGGCCGCCAGGTTGCAAGGGCACCACGAGCAGTGCGCCGCGCGCCCCGTCAATGTGGCGCCGGGCGACGCAGCCCGCCGCGTTCGCCACGGGGCTCGCGAAAGATACCCCCACCTCCTCCTCCTCCTCTTCCTCCTCCTCCTCCTTCTCCTCCTCCTCCTGATCCTCCTCGTCAAGCCACGGGGCGCTCCTCCTCCTCCATCTCCTCCTCCTCCTGCCCCTCCTCCTCCTCCTCCCTCCTCCTCCTCCTCCGCCTCCTCCTCCTCCTCCTCCTCCTCCTCCTCTTCCCCCTCCTCCTCCTCCTCCCCCTCCTCCCCCGACATCCAGCGCGCCCGGGGGCCTCCCCCACCCGGGACATGCAGGTCAAGACTGAGTTCCCAGCAGGGGCGGGCGCCAGTGGGGGACCACGCGACAAGGATCCCAGGACAAGGCGCGCAGGCTGGGGGGGGGCGGCTGGCGACTCGCTGCGGCGGAGGCGCCGCCACGCCCCCGCCTGCCGCGGGCTGCGCGGGCCCCGGCGGGCGGCTGAGCGCGCGCGCGCGGCGCGCGCGCGTCCCCCCCCTTCCCAGCTCCTCCGCGTCCCCGTCCCTCCCCTCCTTGCCACTGGGCTCCTCTTGCGTTGGCGTAGGCTGGGGGGGGGGGGGGGCAGGACTTCGAGGTGCCGCCGAGGAGGCCGCAGGAGCAACTTCGAGGAGGCTCTCGACAGGGGCGCGGGCCGCCCACCGAGGATGGCTGCGTGCTGCCACGGCGGGGCCCTTCGCGTCCAGGGAGGCAGCATGCTTCAGAGCGTGAAGTACCTACCCCGCTTTCGCTTCCAGGCAAAACCAAGCCATACCACGCGCCTCCTCGTCAAGCGGCCTGACCAGTACAGGCTGCAATTTGGAACCGTTTGGTATCTCTTGGAAGCGAGGATGGTCAAAAGCGAGCCAGGTTTGTTTTCCCCTTAATGCTTGCCCCTGGCGCTCAAGGTGCACACCGCGTTCGAACAGCGCCCGCGATGGACCCCTTTGGGTGTCGCATAATGAAGTCCCCTCCGACTCATGGAGACCGGGATCCGCACTATCTTCATCGGCGGTACCTTTTCCAACCACGCTGGTCACGTGGCCCAAGATGGCGCGTCTCGGGCCCAGCCCCCACGGCGCGCCCCAGACCGAATCGATTATGCCGGCGAAGGGATGCGTTTCACTTCTGCCCCCCTTGCCGCCACCAAGGCAATCTCCAAGAGCGATGGTGCTGCCTGTCCCCCTCCCAGGCCCCGCCAGCCCAGGGCGCCCCAAAGAAGGCGGCCCGCCGGGCATGCCGTGGATGAGTGCACGGACAGGGCCCAGGTGTGAGATCCGCTTCAGGCACGACGCGCTCGGAGGGAAGGCCCCCCTGAACCAAAAAGCCTTGCGCCCCGCATTTTGCCCCGCTCTTCCGCCCGTCGCGCCTCCTCCACTTGTGCGTGTTTCGGGGAGTCGAATCTTGCGCGCGGCGCGGTGGGGCTGCGAATTCAAAAGCTACTGGGCTAAAGGAGCAGTGCGGGCCCGCCGCAGGAACGGGCAGGCGCGCCCGCGTTCGACTCCTCGAAGGACTGCTGCCGCAATGGCTGCTGCATCGGCCATCCTCTCCTGCTGTCCCAGCGTCGATAGCATTCGCGAGGTCGGCGCGGGGTCCCCCTACCCCCCCCCAAAAGGGTTTTATGCCAAGCTGCTGGCGGTCCCTCGGAGCGCGAGGATTCCCATCCATCGCTGGCGACATGGCAACATGGAGTGCCAGTGACAACCCAAAGCGCATCAACGATGCTGCTGGAAGAATTCCCTCCAAGTTCCCTCTTCCTGGGCTCCTACAAGAATATGTCTGCATTGCGGTAAAGGCCCCATGTAAGGACAACGGTCTGTGAATCCCCAGTCGTGCCAAAGCGCTGATCTTGTAATTTCAACGCCGCGGATCAAGGAGAGTGTTGCGTCCTGTCAATCTTCAAATTGCGCCAAGACGTCGTTCTAGAAACCTCACCGCGACTCAACCAGATTGTTGCGTCCTGACAATCCAAGACCGTGCAAGGACATCAATCCTGGGATTTCGACTGAGCGAGTTCTTGAAACGGCTGCAAGTGTTTAAGACGAGTTTGCGGGGTCGATGAGGCGAGAACCACATTTGAAAAGGATTGGGCTTCCATGCCTGGAACTGGTACAAGCCCTTGGAACGAAGCCGCGCGCTTTTGAAACGAAGGTCGCATTTTGAAGACCACCTGTTCTCTTGCAGTTCACGCGTTGCACACTTTTAATTTGAATGCGCGAAACACTGAAGCCCCCGAGCGCGACTTGCAAAACGATTGGCCATCCATCCGTGAAGGTTTTGCACACTCTTTGGACGAATGGACACGTCGTTAAGGCGGGAACCACATTTTGAAAACCACCCGCCATCAAGTTGTGGAGCGATTGCAAATTTCAAGCTCCGTGGTCATCAACGGCGAGGCGGCCTACGACGAAACGCCCAACACCCGCACTTCGGACATGTCCTGGGGTGCGACAGGGGAACGTCACCAATAAGCAGTACAGTCAGCCCGCATAGCAGGGATGGGCAACCTTCCCAAGGGTACCCTTGCATCCTTGCCTCCTCGGTCCATCCTTCGCCACTTCCGTTGGCCGCGCCCCGCTCGAGAAGCTTCGGCTTGGGCGTCCAGAAACCCTCGCATCCTCATCGCGCATCCGTGTGATACGGGCCGGCTGTAGGGGCTTGGGGGGAGGCGGCGCAGAAGGGAAGCGACGACGACGACGAGCTTCCCTCCCGCGAGGAGGACGCCTCGTTCATCCAGCGCGCACGCGCGGCCAGGGCCGCCGGCCAGGGCGCGGGAGCTCGCGCCGACGCGCGGCACGATGACGGAGAGGAGCAGCACTGGCAGGCCCGGGGCGCGCCTGGAGCGGGGGGGGGAGGCGGGCTCCTCACCCGAGGACCCGGGCAGCAGGCTCAGACCCCTCAGGGCTTGGCGGTCTTCTTTTGTACTCTTGTGGGGGTCAGCACTGTGCCCATCGGGGCAAACCGAGGCCGATCGAGGTGGAGCCAGGTCCATCCAGGTAAACAGGCAAATCCAGGTACATCGGGAACGATCCAGAAACACAGAGATCACCAAGCAAGTCGAGAGAAACCGGGAACGCTCCAGCACGATCGGGAGACAGCTGACGTCGGTAAGACATTAACGCTTGGAGGAGGAAAAGGTACCCATACGGCTAACTCCGTCATTCGTTATCGCTTTTTTGGATTTCCTGGGAGGCTCTCGTCGCCACGGCTGGATTCGCCCCGAGATTATGGTCAGACCGCATTATCAGGATCAGCAGCAGGGAAAAGGGAGGAAGGCGGGGGGGAAGGTGAGGATGAGGAAGAACAGGAGGGGGGAGGAGGGCGGATGGAGGTGGGAAGGGGGGCTAGGCGGAGAAGGATGATGAAGAAAATTCGATGCGTTGCTTATGATGGCGCTCGGACGCGTATAATGATTGTATTCGCGTCGCTCAGATGTCGCTGCGGGAAGAATCCAGGGCAGTGTGCATGGTAGCGAGCTTGGGATATCATAAAAAGGAGTTCACACGTATATTCCATTTGATGCACAGCCCGTTTATCACTGATGCTTGGTACGAGTTGATGTTCGATGTATTTGGTTGCGACACGTGAGCGCTTGCAGCTGATAGCGGTGAGTAGTCGTCCGTTGAGAGAATCATACAAGCAACCCGTGATGGACTTATTGATCACACTAGCCCGATGACGCAACAAGGGAACGAAACCGTTCATCCCGGCATCACATTCATTCACACGTAGGCCAAGCAGAGTTCTTGAGGCATTACTTAGCGTGGTCACGATTGCGAACAAGCATGACGAACTCACTGCAGGGGTACCACATATGGTAGTCAACCACATGACGGTATCACAGACAGTGTGAAAATGATAATTATAATGGGCCATCTCACCGAGAATATGGAGCTGTCCAGGGCGAGGGAGTTCCATCATGCACCGGGATACCGGGGCAGGCCAGGGGAATTGAACAAGAAATTTCGGGATGTTCTCGCTTTGGCGCTTAGGAGGGCACTGGACACAGGAATCTGTGAATCGTATCGGACCCAGATGTCGAGACGACTGATCGAACGATGCAAACGTTTTGATGAAACGATGCAACGTTTGATGATCGATCCGCACGGACCGCAGGGTGAAGATGAGTGATACGGCTTGTAGCCGAGCCGAAATTTCAACTCAGCGGGTGCAAACAGGGCGATGCACCCACAGCGTTCCAGAGTACCTATATATGGTATCCGGCAGATGCTGGAGTTATCCCCCCCGGCGGAACTCATCCCGGGCACGCACACATAACGACGTAATTATACATGCGCGTTGCAGTGCAATTCGAGAAATTGACAGGGCCGGGGAGAACGTTTTCAGAATTACGGGGACGCGCATTCATTGGCTTTACCATCCGGAATCACCGTGGTCCGTGTTATCACGGGTCGCGTCGGGGATTCGTTGTTTCATGATTGTCAGTTGAATTTGCGCGCGACATCATCATATTTGGCCACGGATGCCTGTAAGGAAGTATGAGTGACTTCGGGGACTGGGACAGGAAACGAAAGTGTTGATATGCGAAGTCGTCACGCCATGGGCATTGGCAATATCAGTGCCAATGGTCGTTTCGGGCTTTGGCTCTCACCAGGAATGCGTCGGTTTACTGGCATGAAGATCGCCGGAGTCCGAGCCGAGAAAATGGCGCAAACGAGGGGAATAGATATCAACGGACTGATGGTGTTCGCAGCACAGTGAAGAACACGAGCACACACGCACACGCGCACAGGAAACGTCGGCGAGCCGGTTACCACACGAGCACGGGCGAGTAACACGACGCAGGGAACGGGGCCGCGACAACGACGAAGGATCGCGGCGCAGGCAATGGACTGGCCGTCTGCCAAGTTCACGGCAAGAGCCTCCATCGTTCCCAACAAGGGAGATTTCGGAGGGCGCTTTGCGTTGAGAAAAACCAAGTGGTGGTGTAATTGCGCACAGCGTGGGCATTTCACCAATCACTGCTCCAGGCGCACAGGGACTAAGGAAAATGAGCTGGTTGATGCCTGGGCTGATTTTGTACCGGCCTGGGGTCGTCTTGGAGACGTCTCGGGTCTCTCTCGGGGCGCGCTTAGAGCGTTTGAGCTACCCGAGGCCTCGGTTTAAACCGTCCTGGGCGGTCTAGCCAACTCACCGAGAGGTTGTAAGATGGTGACGAGTTTTGGCTCCTGGGTGCCTCTGCGGGGCTGTCTTTGACCATATCGAGCCACCTTGGGGCTTCTTGGGTCTCTTGGGGCGGATGCATCTTCAAGCCTACCGGCGCAGACGCTCGCTCTCGGAAAGCCTCTGGACTTTCGCGGAGCTCCCTTGGGGCGACCTTGGGGTTGCATTGGGGGTCCTGCGGGCCGTTCTCGTTGGGGGTTGCATGGGGGGTTACATTGGGGGTCGCATTGGGGCTCCAACCTCGCCAGGACTTCGCGGTGCGTTGCCGGGACTTTGCCGGGGCATTCTTCGTCTGGAGATCCCCAGGGGCCGCCGCGCGGGCGTGTGCGAGCAATCCCCATGCATTCCGAACCCGTTTGCTGGGGGTTCGAACGCGCCTTTGGCCCGCTGGGCTGGCGAATATGAGCAACGCGCTACAGTGCAGCCAGAAAAAAACCGAAACATATTTGGACCTCGCGGTGGAGGGCCCCAGGCCAGACTCAACAACAGTTTGCCGATAGCTGGGTAAATCCAAGGTTTTGTTCCTAGTGCGCACGATGGATTGCGCGCGCTCGAAGATGCGAGCATGACCGCGGCGACAGTGATAGAGTTCAGGCCAGAACTGTGAAGCTGCTTCAGCGTTGAATTCAACGCGCGCGCCCTGCAGGGGCGCGCTCGCTACGTGGAAGTTGCCCGACCAGGCCCTTGCCGACAAAATGAAAACCACGCCAGGCTGCCCCGCCAAACGGCCGAGCGAGCACTCCTGACTGCCCCCCACGCAGCCGCCCGCGGCCAATGCTGAACACTTTCTGCGGCGCGGCCAGCGAGAGCCCGCTTGGCCATCCGCGGCGCCTGCAGGACCGACGCGAGGCCCCCGAAGGGGCCCGCGGCAGTCCAGCCATGTCCCCCGGAGGCCGCCCGGAGAGGATAACAGCCCCCGAATGCGACCCTGTCATGGCTCCAGGGATCTCCGAGAGCCCCAAATGGAGCGGCGCTGGTGCCCTACGAGGCTCCTCGCAATGGCCACAAGACGACCCGAGAGACCCCGAGAAGCTCTCACGAAGCCCACGAGAGAGCCCCACACGTCCAGCACTAGCCACAATGTCTACAGGACGCCCCAAGAGCCATTCGAGAGAAAGACCACAAGGCACCACATGAGACAGCCCAGAGGCCCCCCAACGCTCCAGGGCGCCTCATTCGTCGCAAAGAAAAAAGGCAATTGGGAAAATAGCAGGACTTTTCTCCTCCCTCCTGTTCCCGTACGCCACCCCCCCTTTCCGTTATGTTGCCCGTGATGTTTCTTATGATGCCAAATGTATTGCCTTGCCCCGCGCGCGCTCTCGCACTTCGCAATGCATTTCCGGTGGAATCAGGGATGCTTCTGACTGGCGCGTTTGATTATATTTGTCTCCAGTGTAGCAAGCAGCAGTAGCGCGACGCACATTACAGCAGACACGCAGCACCGCTGCCATAGGGTTCCGAGAGGCCTCGACTGACCAGAGAAGCTACCATTGCCGCACCCCAGGCGCGGGGCGATTCCGAGGGTGCGCATCGAAGAGAAGCCGGCCAGGTTTTGGATTTCGAGCCATGTGCGATCTAGGACTTCGGGAGCTCCGACCGATGGACATTGGCATCGGGGCAGTTCCACGGACCGACGGGCGCGATCCAGCACGACCTACGGGGCCGCCTGGCGGGGGCGGAGGGGCAGCCGCAGCAGCGCGACAAGACGGCGGCCACCACGCTCCTACTGCATTCGTCGGCAGGTCCCCAGAGTTCGACGGCTCGATCGATGGCGACAATGCCATGCAGAAGACGGCGGGAATCCACGCCGCGAGAGCGCGAGGACGCGCGCGGGGGCAAGGAGCGGGGGTCGAGAGTGCGCGAGGCCCGTCGGGTCGAGAGCGGGGGGCGGTCGAGGACTTCCCGGCGTCGGAGAACGAGGGGGGTTGGCTGGGGGCCATCCTTGAGTCGCTCGACAGGGCGCGCAAGTACGATCGGATAACGGAGCCCCCGACGGAGTTCGAGAACTTCTTCAAGGCAGCCCGCAAGCCCGGAGAGGCCCAGAGAAGGTGAGGTTTCGGGCACCAGGGTGAAAAGTGCGATCGCCAGAGAAGGTGCCTGGCTGGTTCTCGTCGCGACGGGCAAGGCTGGGGAAAGAAGGCCAGGCGCTCGTCATGGACCACGCTTGAGACGACTACTCGCTAGCCAAGGCTGAGGGCGAGATAAAGAAGACGTTCGGCGTGGGCGTGATGCCGAGTCACCGCGCAAGTTCAGGAGCTGCAGCCTATGGCGCGGGCGACTGCGAGGGGCGCGACGAGCGCCGGGAGGGCGCCCACTACGCGACGGGGGCGAGCTCGCCTTCCACGGCGACGGCGGCCAGCGCCATTCTAGATCTTCAAGCGCTTAGTTTTTTCAACGCAGATGCGGCCGATTACAGCGAGGCCGCCACGTTCGACAATCCTATGCCGGACCCGGCGGTCATTGTTGATCATTGTATCAGGATCGTGTCAGCGCATGCGGACGCACCGCAGAAGAGCCATATGGGGTTGGCTCGCGGCGTCTACCCAGCGGTCGCCATGGCGTCGCTGCCGCAGCGCAGCGCGGTTCCCGGCGCCCGTCGCCCCTCGAGCGGCCTCGGCGCGAGGGCGGGGGGCCGCGCGC